GAGAATGTCACAACGCTCGACCCGGACCTACTAACACATGAGAGAATCCAACTCGGCCTTCCGCAGGTTCCGCATAACGGCGACCGTCCCCGAACGGCGAAGGTCATAACCGGGCCGGTGACAGTCCTCGAAGATATGAGACAGCTGCGGGAGTTCGCCTGACTTACACGAACATGCCGCACCTCGACCCAACTTCCGAAGCGTATGCTGCCCGTACTACGCCTCCTAGAGGTCCTCAAGACCGAGGACTGTCGAGCCGCGATACGATGCCAACAGTCCCGGAGAGTGGCTGGCTTGGGCTCACGGAGTCCGTTGGATGATTGTACGTGCCTCCGAACTTAGACTATCGTTCGAACCATCGAACCGACCTTCGAACAGCGATTCTTGTTCGAGTCCCGCAGTCGGCCATCCTGCTGGCAACGATACGCTTCCTGCTCCTAGGTCGTTCCCCGAGATCGACGAGTTGATGCGTTACCTCGACGAGGTCTTTCACCGCGATGGCAACCAGGGAGACATCCTAGGTTCGCCCTACCCTACGATCGCGTGGTCCGAGACATTGGTACTGCTCGAACAAGTCAACCAGGCCGAGCGTCGTCCCTCGCGAACCCGCAGTACCAGCGCGAGTCGTTGATCCTGTCCGACTTTCGCCAGCTGCCCGACAACCTCGAGTCCATGGGTAGACGATTCACAACATCGCAGTCGACCAGCGCCGCACGCACGGCACCCTCGTCGGGTTGCTCGAAAGCCTACTCGAGCGCGTCAACACTGATCGTGGCTCCGACACCGGTCCGTCTGTTCGTAGGGGTAGGGGTGGTGGTCACGGGTGTGGTGGTCGAGGACATAGATACGAGAGTTGCCGGGGTCGTCACTAGCTAGGTTGACGTAGCCATGTACTTGCTCCGGAGTCCTACCAATGTAGCGACGCTTCTAAACCGCTTGCCTCTGCCACTAAGGGTTCCGAACATTGACACTTGAGCTTCGAACATCGGGCGGTTCCCTCGAACGGACGGACAGTGCGTCGACCGTTCTGACTTAGTGTACCGTTGTATCGACCGTAAATGGCGTTTTCGGTGGGTAGGTGAGCTAAGGGCTCATCAACGTACCGTTCGGACCTTTCCATCCGCGAGGACAGACTTGGACTGGCCAAATGCTGATTATCAATCCATCTTGCCTGCTGAAATATGGATCAGGAGTCTATACTACGCACTATACATCAAGCAATACAAGTTTACAACGTACCTCAAGTTCCATTGTCTTCTTTAACTTGTTGGGATTGTTATTGATGACTTCCAGATCCTCGTCATTGGACGACAACTCAGAGGAGTGTTCATCTGATTGCTTGTCAGAATCAGACGACGCCGGACTGAACCCGTCAGCGTCAGCGTCTTCATGCCCATGGCTCGGCGGCAAGGTCTTCGCCTTGCTGGCTGCTTGGATGCGAGCAGTGGACTTAGTACCGTGACGAGGCTTAGTGTTAGACATAGCTGGGCCTGCTACACATGCGTACATGAAGTACTGAAGGCCTGTAAAATAAACTGACTTACAAGATGATGTTACGTTACGGTCTGCTGATGGAAGGGAACGACCGCGTGATTGTGCTGGTGTTCCGAGAGGCCTATCGTCACTTGACTCGTCATCTTCAAAGTTCGGGGCCCTAGGAACTTGACGGCCTATTACGAAGGGTAGTCAGACACAAGAGGTTCAAAGTTGTACTTCACAACTACTCACGTTTGGACGATGCAGTCACAGATGATGCTGACTGGCCCGACTTCTTACGCTTTGGATCCACCGACACAGGCTCGTCGACAGCCGACTTGGTGCGTTTACGAGGTTTCCGCTGACTCAAGAGACTCTCAGAGGCTACAAAGTTGGTGCATAAGATAGTGAAGCTGCGCAAAATGGGATGGATCATACTCTTAGACTGAGCGACAGTCTTCGCATTTCGAGGTGGCCTGCTGTTGGGCTCAGGACTGTCTCGGTTGTTGCCAGAAGAATGTGCTGCGTTGCCATCGTCCACAGGGGGTGGGGCCGAATCCGGGACTTGTCGCTGGCTGGCATGTCGAGCTGATCTACGAGGGCCACCTGCAGATTGTATGGCTTTTTGGAGAATCTTGGAAGCCATTCTCAGGGCACTGCCCTGCCGGCAGGATGCAAGACTCGACTCAGAGTAACAAAAGGAATGGACGCACAGAGAAAACGAGAGGGAGAAAGAGAAAGGACGACGAAGCAGTGCCGAGCTTGCTGGCAATGGGTCACGGTGTATTGTTACGTGTAACGTCTCTGGTCCGCAGATGCCCGCGGCGCGTGACAAAAGAACCTAGGCCTGCTGCCTTGGACGTCGCGTCAACCATACCAAGCCACAGCTCCTCTGTCTTGTCGTGTCTTCGACTTTCCAGTCAACAACTCACTCCGCGCACCAATCATAACTATCCCGTGTTGAGTTAGCTCCGCCTGTGTCACTATGCCCCAGTGCCGTGCTTGTAACCGAGGCTTCACGCAGCAAGGCTATGCCGCTCACCTCACGCAGACGCATAATCCGGAGTGCATTGCTCTTCGTGAAGGCTTTCTTCCACAGAATGATCCTGCCTATCTCCCACAAGCTGGTCCCGCACATGCTGATGACAATGGAGACGCACCTGAACGCAATCCTGTGCCTTTTGAAGGAGACTTCTTCGGGGATTACCAGCCGGAGGAGTTTGATGTTCTCTACAACAGGGATCACTCTCCTGACGAGCGACATACTGCATCAGGACGAGAGGATGAGGACGAGGTGGTAGAGGAAGAGGAGGGAGAAGAAGACGAAGAAGACGAAGAAGACGAAGAAGACGAAGAAGACGAGGAAGACGAGGAAGACGAACCAGGTTGGGAACCTCCACCTCCATCACGTCCACCCAGTCCATACATCCCCATGGATGACGACATCGACGACATCGCAGACGCTCCTAGTCGCGAGGATCGGCATAACATCGAGTCCAGAACATCAGCCAAAACGTTTGTTGAACCCTTTCCGGGTAAGCGAGCTGGTGAAGTCGTCGAAGACCATGGCGCTGGTCCCAATACTGAGCGCATGGCATACGCGAAGTCAGTTGGCATCACGGAGAACGAGCCCTACGCCCCATTCAAGTCCCAGCGCGATTGGGAGTTTGCGCGATGGGCGAAGACACGAGGTCCCGGTGCGACGGCTCTTACAGATCTGCTGAAAATCGAGAAGGTGAGTACTCCAGTGATAGCATCAATGACGAGTTGTTCAAGGAACCTACCAGTTAGTGGAATTGCTCGGGCTGTCCTTCAAGACGTCGCAGGAACTGGACAAACTCATAGACCACCGTCTACCATCCAAGCGGCCGTCATTCGAGCGCTACGAGATCGAAGTTGCCGGAGAGACCTTTGAAGTTTTCGCCCGGAACATACTTTTGTGTCTCGAGGCGTTCTGGCGCGACACCGAGTTCGCGCCTCTGCTGGTCTTTGCACCAGAGAAGCACTATGCCGATGCAGACAAGACAGTTCGGGTGTATTTTGATTTGCATACAGGGAAGTGGTGGTGGGCGACGCAGGTACATTGATGGCTTTGCTGTTGCTGTTATAAGTACTGATTCCATTCTCACAGAAAGAGATCGAGAAGACGCACCCCGGAGCAACAATCGTCCCACTCATCGTCTCATCAGATAAGACACAGCTGACGATGTTCGGGAATAAGGCGGCGTACCCTGTCTACCTCACGATTGGCAACCTCCCCAAGGAGATCCGACGCAAGCCTTCGCGTCGAGGCCAGATCCTCCTTGCTTACTTGCCGACATCGTCCCTAGAGCACATCAAGAATAAGTCAGCACGACGCCGAGCACTCGCAAATCTATTCCATGCCTGTATGAAGCGCATCCTTGCGCCAATAAAGAAGGCAGGCGTGGACGGGATTCACCTCATGAGTGGCGATGGGAAGGTCCGTCGATGCCATCCGATCCTGGCAGTGTACGTCGGGGACTACCCGGAGCAACTCCTCGTCACATGCCGCAAGACAGGGGACTGTCCGAAATGCCCAGCGCTTCTCGCTGAGTTGGATGGCATCCTGTCAGAGTCGGGGCATCTACGGGACCCAGACGAGGTCTACGAAACCCTGTCCACCCGTTCCGAAGGGCCGGCTGCCTTTACACGAGCATGCAAGGAAGCCCGGATGAGGCCTATTGTCGAGCCGTTTTGGGAAGACCTACCGTACGTCAACATATTCGCCGTGATCACGCCCGACATCTTGCATCAACTCTACCAAGGTGTGATCAAGCACCTTGTGTCGTGGTTGAAAGCGGCGTACGGAACGGAGGAGATCGACGCACGTTGTCGGCGATTCCCACCCAACCACCATATTCGCCTCTTCATGAAGGGTATAACATCCCTACGCAAGGTGACCGGTAAGATGCACGCCGACATCTGCCGTTTCCTGCTGGGTCTGGTCATTGGGCTTCCACTTCATGGGGGACGCTCACCTGCGCGCCTTGTCCGGGCTGTGCGAGCGCTCCTCGACTTCCTGTACTTGGCTCAGTATCCTGTCCACACATCCGAAACGCTGAAGCTGCTCGACGACGCACTCAAGCGCTTTCATGCGAACAAGAGTATCTTCGTTGAGCTGGGTATTCGGGAGCACTTCAACATACCAAAGCTTCATGCCTTACTGCACTACGTCTTCTCTATCACTCTGTTCGGCACGACCGATAACTACGACACTCAATACTCGGAACGGCTCCACATCGACCTAGCAAAAGATGCGTACCGTGCAACCAACTGCAAGGACGAATACCCGCAAATGACAGATTGGCTTGTCCGGAAGGAGAAGATTGAACAGTATGACGCCTTCTGCCGCTGGCGCGAAGAGACGAACGAGCGGAATGCCGAGGAGGAGGAACACCCTGTGCCTGCTCCGATTGATCGAGACCAGGGGGCGCCAGGCGAAAGGACGTTGCATATCACCATGGCTCGCTATCCCTCAGTGAAAGCTGTCAAGTTCGACGGAGCCCTGCAAGACTACGGCGCCACATACCTTCGCCCAGCACTAGCGCGGTTCATTGCTCTGAAGCGGTATCCTGGTATTCGAAACACGACCGAGTTGGAACGCAAAGCTTCCCGAATCCAACTCCACTTCAGGACTTTTCCGGTCTGGCACCGCATCAAGTTCAGGCTCGAGGATGTGCTTGGATTCGGGGTCGGTGACGACTGTGCTGATGCGATTCACGCGCAGCCCCAGAGATTGAACAAACGCGGTCGTCAGATTCCAGGTCGATTCGACACAGCGTTGATCAGAGATGCGGATAATGCAGGCCGTAGCGGCGTGGCAGGTACGTACCAGATCGTGTGACATCCGAATCTAGTTCCACTAACAGTGTAACGCACATCGCACAGTCCAGGTTATCGTGTAGGACAGGTTCGGCTCATCTTCAAAGTGCCTCAAAACGCGCTCCAAGACCTCCTCCCCAATGTTGAACAAGTCCCTTCGCACCTTGCGTACATTGAATGGTTCTCCCCGTTTACTAGACCTGACAGTAACCATGGCCTCTACAAAGTCTCGCGATCGTTGGAGGGCACTCAGCGCCTCGCAAGTGTGGTCGAGGTTAAGGATATCCGCCGAAGCTGCCATCTCTGGCCCGATTTTGGACCGGTGGCACCACGCGAATGGACCAGCAGCAATGTCCTCGATCGGTGTTCTGCATTTTATGTCAGCGCCTTCAATGATATACACGCGTACCAGGTCGTCTTCTAGTGGCTCGGACTCGGATCGGCACAATCTTCTGGCCTGTCATGGTCAGAGTCACCTTTGTACGGACGTCCGCGCCGTCCCGACCAATTACTTTGTCCACTGCGATTGTTGCTCACTGTAGTGTTCGTTCGTCTCGTAGCCTATACCAATGAATGCTCATCTCTGTAGACTACTGTAATTCATACATTAATGTACATGGCGGTCACCGGGTCAGTCACTAGATGCTCAGACTGAAGGTTCATTGATTTCAGCCGGTAGCAGGCAAACTCGGAAGCTACAGTGATATCTCGGTAGTATGTGAAGGTATCGGGAATAGTCCCGAGTCGTCCCCCTGAGTGATTAGTAGCAAAGATATTGCCAGCGTAGACGGACAATATCACTATTTGAGCGCTATTTAGCCCGGGGGGTTTTTCCCGATGTACACTATCGCGCCCAACCTGTGCTGCGCTAGTTCCATTGGCTGCGTCCCCAACTCCGGCTGCCCCCTTCAAGTTCCCTGTTGTGAACAATACCTATGCTATCCTCGGCTTCATTGACCCGACCACTTGCTGCGCTGCGGTGGAGGGTTCGAGCCATGTGACAGGAGTGTTGCGTCGTCAAGGAATTAGGGTATTATCTGCGAGCCCATGGTCGCTTGAGTGATCGGGCGAGCGCGACGCTCAAGCGCTCACCATTGGCTGACTTGGACAGAGTTGCAGGCGTGAAAACCCGCACAATAAATGATGTGGGCCTCACCGAGCCTGGCACGTACTAGACGCTCCCGAGCAGACTGCCAATCAATCACAGCGAGCCGTTGTTTAAGTGGTAATCACAAGAGGAGAGACAGCTTGTATGAGGGCATAATTCGTTCTATACTGAGGCAGGTAGGCGAGGCCAACTCGTCAAAGTTGTAGTAGGGCAAGAAAAGAAAAGGGGGAGACGGTCATGGATGATCACTGTTAGTGTACGTAACTCGTTACTCGTCAGACAGCCTAGCAACTCTTCTAACCCTGCCATAGGAAGGGTTCGACTGCAAACAGAAAATAAGCGTCATATCAGTCAAGCAAGCAGACCTGAATGTGTACTTACTGAGACAGTCCACATCACGATCAAACTTCTCCAGCGGTACAATAAACTGACCAGCCTCCTTGTCTCGCTTCAATTCCGAAGCGTTATCCGCGTCGATCCAATCTCCTAGGTGTTCAACAGTGTGCAAGGTGCAACCAACGGGGGTTACTAGGTCTATTGCTAGCGGTACAAACCTTTTCTCTCTGATGATGGGTCCACCTACGATGATCTGTGCGAGCGAATCGTTGTCGCCGGGGGGGAAGAAGAAGACGTCGCGATACCTGGCACTTGCTGGCAACAGTATCGTCTCCTTAGGCCGCTGAACCATCGTGTTCTCTGGGGATTCCTGTTGGCCGAAGAGAGGGATTCGATAGACCAGGAGTGTCATGCCACTCCAGGTCACGTAGAGATGAGTGCTAGTCCATGTAAGGGTGCAAGGGAGTGTAGGGGAAAGCTCTCCACGGCCGGAAACACCTATGTCGACCTGCTGAGAGGTATACACCAATCTAGGTAGACTTCGCGTAGGCTTTTGTGCGGAAAGCCGGTACGAATACACAACCAGCTTGACATCAGACTCGGAAGACGAGGGGTGCCCATCTTCGGGTGCCGCAGGACTGCCTGCAAAGGCGGCAATGTGGAGATAACGACCATCGTCCGTGAAGCGACATTTCATAGTGAGGACATCAGACGCTGAATTATACATATGAGTGATGGCTTGTAGAGAGATCCAGGTAGTCCACTCACCCGCTTTCGATGTGGCACCAATTTCACGGATAAAACAGGAGCCGTAGTCGTAGTCAACGAACAGAACCTCCCGTCCTCCCAAAGGCCATACTACCAATGGCTGAGTGGGGTGAAGAGCTGGAGGAGAATCAGACAGCGATGTCGAGGTGGGTCTAGAGAACTGGTAGAGTCTGCCCTCAGGCTCAGGCGCGAAGATGCGCATTCGAGCCCGCTGGTGTCGCACAGGGCCGTCGACGTTTTTCGTCCTGCCACGGCCGTGCCCTCGGCGTTCGTAGAGATCCTCTCCTGCATATCGACGGATTTGACCGAAGGCGAATACAGATGAACTGATACCCGAGTCGTCGCTGTCAGCATACTCGCCTTCATCTGCATCTTCCATGCATTGATCATCCGCATCGTCATCATAAATATCTTCCTCAGCCACCTGCATCCTCAGTTCACTGATAGGGTCGTCATGCTCGTAGTCAGAGCACTCTGGATCACTGTTTCCTTGCTCGTCTGGAGAGGTCGCATATCCCGAGTTCGATTCGTCTTCAGGTCTAGAACCTGCAGAAGAGGTGTCGCTCCAAGACTGGTACCCACCATCCTCGAAGTCACCAGAAGACTCAGAGGTCATACCGTCCTCAGTGTCCGAGTCAGCCCACTCCTCGTCGCTGTCACTGGTCCCATGGACTAAATTCGAGCCTCGGCTCTCCGCTCCGTACGAAGAATGCCCGGCCTTGACCACAGGATCAATCCGTCGGCTGGCAACGATAACCACATCACTGCGTCCCGCGATCTCCTCGATGTATTCTCTCTTCTTCGGCGCGTCCGTCCCGTCAAAGACCTGGTACTTGCCAGTGTCATCGACGACGTACAGCTGTACGCCGATGCGAAGGCATTGGCCGTTGTTACTGAAGGAAGCAAGCGGTGCGCCACCCTGACCTTCGCAGATACTATACGACTTCGAGCCGCTCGGTGTGCAGGCCGCATAGTATGCCGCATTGCAATGTTCACCGTCGACCAACAAGATTTGAGATCTCTTCATGGTTGGCAACTTGTCTGTAGCATAGCTCCATGTCTCGAGTTTGAAGCTGAGTTGACCGTCCAATGCCGATCTGTATATAGCACAAGATGTAGGCCATCAGCAAAACTGCGAGTTTGTCTGAAGCAGTCTGAGAGTACTGACTCAGACTCCTCAGACCCGTCAGACTTCGTGTCTGACAACGGGAGATTAGTTCTGACATCAGAAGCAATCTCTGATGTCAGACGGCCTTCAGACCATCACTCAGACCATTTCAGATGGTCGTCAGACTGCTGCTTAGAGCGTAACAGAACGTAGTAATAGTACATACAATACACTGTAAACTACCAGCTAGTACTCATCGTGATCTTACCTGTCTGTCCACCCACATACCCACCCTCCCTTCGCCACTGTGCTTGCCGTTTCCGACAACGCCCCACTTGCTGGGCGTCGGGCTATCGTGTCGAGGTTCGGCGAACTGATGTCCACGGGCTGTGGATCCGTGGGCAATCGTGTAGGTGCTCGCGGTTGGCGTGCGTTGCACGCGCCCTGCCCGTCGCGGTCACCCATGATTGTTCCGCGCCCACCTTCCATTCGTCAGTCGTGCTCGCCCGCCCGCTCGCCCACCCGCCCGCTCGCTCACCCGCCGTCTGCTCGCTCACCCGCCGTCTGCTCGCTCGCCCACACGCTCCGAGGCTCGCCGCCAGCCACATGGTAATGGGCGGCGCGGCGATGTAGGAGGGCTGTGGCAGGGCGAGAAGGCGGTGGCGTGGCGCGGAGGGCCCAAGCTCGCGACTAGACGTTTTATTGTGCAGGGTCGCCTGGCGTGCGCGGTAGGTCCTCGGCGTGCATCGCACGCGCCCGAGAGATTGTAGGATGGCAGGGGATGACTGAGAAAGCGGCGGCCACGAATAGACGACCCCGCTCTTCTGCGCGGTCGTCATGGGTACGTGCTGCGTGCCCGGCATGTGTTTGGCGCGTCCGAGAGCTGCAGAGCGCGGAGCGGCGAGGTAGGAGGGCCGAGGCATGGCGAGAAGGTGGTGACGTGGTGGGGAGGGCCCGAGTTTGCGACCAGATGTCCTGTTGTTGCGTCGGGACGCCTGGGACGCTGGGACAGCGGGGACGGACTAGGAGGGTGGTGGCAAACGGACAGACGGCCCCGCTCTTCTGTGGGTCGCCTGTTGTTTGTGCCAAGATTGCGGCACGCTTCAGATGCGTGCGAGACGTGTGACGAGCAGCCGGAGGGCGGTAGTAAGCGGGGAGCGAGATGTGGGGGTGGGGAGGGCGGTACGAAGTGAATGGACGCCCCCGCTGTGATGCGGGGTCGTCTTGTGTGTGAGGTTCGTGCTCGGCATGTGTTCGGTGCGTCCGCAAGGCGTATAGGGCGGGGTGGTTGATAACGAAGGCGGTGACGTGGCGGCGGGCATAGAGCACGAGGTGACGAACCCGCTCTTGGGCGGGGTCGTCTGACGTGCGGTATACAACCTCGGAACGCTTTTGGTGCGTCCGAGACGAGGTAGGCAGCCCACCTACAGCGCCGCTGTGGGCGCGCAAAACCGGCGTATAGGGTTGCATGTCGGTGAAGCATGGCGGGGTTTTTTGAGTGTGACTCAGCCAGCATCTGCCAGTATGAGCCGGCAGCGGGCAGCGGGCGACAGGTGACGTACATACAGGGCAACGCGGGAGAGTGAGTGGAAAGGGAACTTACTTATTCTGCCTCAGCTCTGCTTCCTCCGAGCGCTGTCCACCCGACGTGCGACACTGTTCGGCATAGAATCTGGCGGGGTTCGCGCTGGCCGGGCCACGTCACAATGACGCGGCCTCTCCCCGCGATGTTCTGCTCATCTGCATGCATTTGGCCGATGCACTGCGATTCTGCGAGCTGCCCGAGGGTTGGTGTATGTGGATGTAAAAGATTGGAGAGGCAGTGAGAAGGGAGGCATGGCGGAGGTGGGAGGCGCGGCCCTCGCAATGGTGTCCGCTCGCTGTGCATCGTGGCTGCGGGCAAGCCGGCGCTTATGCACCCTTCCGGACGCCTCGCGCGTCGCGACAGGCTTCTGCAGCCGCTGTGTGTCAGCGACGAACAGCGCGGAGCAACAAGTCAAGAGGCGGGAGAGCTTGAAAGGCGAGTAACGAGACAGAGAGGCGAGGGAACGATGACGTGGCGAGGTGCCAGCGTGGCGCAGTTTAGGGCAGGCGCCTAGTGGACTTGGGGAGATTCAGTGTGGGTGGCTTGAGGTTGCGCCTGAAGGGTCTGACGGGTCTGACGGGTCTGAGTGGACTGCGTCGCTCTGAGAGAACGAGCACGGAACGAGCAGACGGAGAGGGACGAACGGCGCGGCCATAGACGCCCGATTGCGTCAGATGCGATAGAGCTCTCAGGCACCGGATCAGACGCCTCAGATCCCTCAGGCGCCCTCAGAACCCGCGCACATTTGCTGATCAGTGCCTTCGCGATCGATAGAATCACAGACCTTAAGTGGTCTACAGAGCCATTCGACAATCTCGTGCTCGAGAAGAAGCCAAAGGCCTTGATCAGATCTCTCGTTACGGAGCATGCTTCTCAAACAAAAGAGCACGCCTCGCACACAGGAGGGTTCGATGACGTGGTCGCAGGGAAGGGGAAAGGCCTTATTGGATTACTGTGTGGTAACCCTGGGTGCGGAAAGACGCTCACAGCAGAGGCTGTCGCCGAGATTACCACATTACTGAGTGGAACTTGACCGTTTCGAACGGTCCACCCGGAGTGCATTTGGCCCGTTTCTAACGGTGTACCCGGGCTCGGCCGGAGCACTCCGGGTCTACCGTTTGGAGCGGCCGCCGCCAGCAACGAACCGGCCGGAGGGAGGGTGGTGGTTTGGAATGGTCCGGCCGGAGTGTTGGGTAACGTTCCGGCCGGAGCTCTGGTGAACGTACCGGCCGGAGGCCTTGAGAAATATGGGTTTCCTACGGTCCGGCCAGACTGTTATCCAACATCCCGGCCGGAGCTCTGGTCAACGGTCCGGCCGGAGGCCTCGAAAGATTTAGGCTTCCTACGGTCCGGCTGGACACATACCCAACGTTCGGCCGGACCTTTGATCAGTGTCCCAGCCGGAGGCCTCGAAAATTTGGGCTCTCAACGGTCCAGCCGGAGCACTCAGCAATGGTCTGGCCGGAGCACTCAGCAATGGTCCGGCCGGCGCACTCAGCAATGATCCGGCTGGAGGCCTCCAAAGATTTGGATTCTCAATGTTCCGGCCGGGACCGGGGGTTGGTTTCTAACCTTCCGGCCAGACCCCAGATGAAACAGTCCGGCCGGGCAAAATTCCACCTTCCAAACATCCGGCCGGAAGCCTTGCGGAATCTGGGCTGTAAACAATCCGGCCGGGCTAGTTTGTAATCATCCAGCCAGCCGGACCCCAGATGAACAGACCGGCCGGGCTTCTCCAAAACCAGCCAGACCCCTCAGAATTGATCTGCCGGTGATATAACAACAAGAATTGTTAACCCCCAAGCTCAGCTGGAAAATGACCAAGGTTGTATCAACCAAGCTCAATATTTAACCACCCACCGAGCTCAGAGTTGAACCACCGAGCCCAGAGATGAGCCACCAAGCTCGGTATCAAACCACCGAGCTCAGTAGTGAGCCACTGAGCACAGTATTGAACCACCGAGGTTAAACAGCTAGGCTCGGTGGCCGAGAAAAATTGGCCGGGCTCGGCGCCGAGGATAAATGGCCGAGGCTCGGGCCGAGGTTTCGAGCGCCGAGCTCGGTGAAAACCGCCGAGGTCAGTATCAAAGCATTGAGCTCAGTGTTAAGGGGCCCAGTTAAAGGGCCGAGCTGAGTGTTCAATGACCGAGTTTGTTGTTGAAGCACTGAGCTCGGAAATGGCCGAGGTTAAACCACCGAGCTCGGTGAAAAACGGCCGGGCCGTCAGATTGCCATATAAGGAAATTTGGTATCATCTGGTAGCCCTTCATTCACAGAGTACAGTATATGTTCCCTAGTGTACAGAGATGCCTAGTTAGGTCAGAGAATACAAAATAAAAAATGCTCACAGGCTTCTCTGAGAACGTACTATTCAACTCCTGAGGCCAGTTTTCTTTTCCCACAATGTTTGACTATCTAGAATGTGCTATTTCAATGCACAGACTACATCCCCAACAGGAATAGTCTTATTCTTTGAAGCTAAATGCAGGACAAGAGATAAGGGGCATATAGGTATGGGATATGCATGTCTGACTTGAATGTTGGTTCCTGCAGCCAATATTCTTTCCAAATAGGGTTTCACCATCTAGAGTGGTTCATTTACTCACATGGAGTAAGTGCTCCAAAGGAACAGTCTTATTCACACAAGCTGAATGCAGTACAGAGTTAAGGTGTCAAGGGTGGAGTGGGATACATGTGAACTATGTTTACTTTGTAAAGCCAATATGCTTTGCCCACAATGTTTGACAAACTAGAATGGCTTAATCGAACATGAACAGCAAAGTCCTCAAGAGGAATAGTCTTATTCTTCCTAGCTGAACTGAGCATGGAGCTAAGGGGAACATGCATTATTGTGTCATGATGGGGCCTGCTTTGAATGATTGTCTGTATCAAACTGTGATGTGCACCCATGCGCATTGCACTGGCCACATAAACATTTCTCCATTGGTAATGGTCCGGCCGGACAATGCTCATTGCCAATGGTCCGGCCGGCCATTGCTCGTAGCAAACGGTCCGGCCGGTGCACTGTCCTAGGCCAGCCAGAGCAAAATGCGACACATCTGTCCAATGTATAGACTCTTCAGCTATATCATGCATGGATACAGAAGTGATGATCAGCATTGTTCAAATTGAGTGATACTCATATGAGACCAGATTCCCTTAACTCTGTACTGCATTCAGCTTGTGTGAATAAGACTATTCCTTTGGAGGACTCACTCATTGTGAGGAAATGAATCATTCTAGATAGTCAAACACTATTTGGAAAGAATGTTGGCTGCAGGGAGTGAACATCATTATCCAACATGTATGCCCCTTATCTCCTGTCCTGCATTCA